TTATTCTGTTATATTGAGTCATAGTTATTTCAAATAAATGGCAAAAGAGGCACTAAATTTAATAGTATTCATAAGGGGGATTTTTTTCCCCTCCCTTCAAGTGCTGAAACATCAGACGCTGCATCTTTCTTATCATTCCCATAATTTTGTTCTTGGAAAACCCACATCTTTTTCTGCTTGCCTTTTCTGCACAATGTTATACTGAAGAATACTATACATATTTGAAAAGCTAACTGCCTTTTTGTTGCAAAATGGGTTTTAAATAGCAGTAACACCCACTAGCTGGTACAAAGCTTCGTACTGTGCATGCAGCTTTTCACTCCAGAACATTCACTCTGAAAAGCTGATATTGTGTAAAGTTCCCATCGATCACTGCCGCTGTTACAATATATATACCATTAGCCACCATTGTTCTTCATGAAATATGGAGTCACATTGAGGACTCAAGTGCAAAAAAAGAAAAGAATTTGGTGAGGAAAGTACAGATGGATAGGATTTGTATGATTTCTATCTTGCCTTTAATCTATATAGCATAACGGTTTCTATCTTGCCATTATATAGCATATACATAATGTTCCTGATTCTTATTTTCTCATGAAAAACAACCCTGTAAGGTGGATTGGACTAAGAGAGAATATCTGACCCAAAGTTACCCAGCTGGATTTCATGCCCAAGAGAGAACTAGAACTCACAATCCCCCAGTTTCTAATGTAGCACCTTAATCATTATATCAAACTAGCTAGCTAGATAACTAGACCTTTTCTTTTTTATTAAGTTATAAAGTATTGTAAAATACAAAAATAAATAAGAGGACAATGAGGGGTAAGGGAAGAGGGGAAAGCAAAGTGAGGAAAGATAGGGAACGAAAAAGAAGCACTGACTTCCAATTCTGTTACGATAGAATAAGGCAGTAACAACAAATCACAACTTTTTGCTTTTTCATAGTAGATAACTAGACCAAATGAGTAACCAATAAAGTTATTCTGTCAAAATATTGTTCAGGAGTCTGATTTAAAACAGTGCAATTCAGCAAGCATGTATTTCTATAAAAATTACTTAAAATAAAACAGGCAAGATTAGAACAAAAAGTTAAGGCGTGCTGATGGCCTTTGGAAATTGCAAAAAAGAATAGGATTTGGGGTCATGGTTCTCATGCTTAGTCAATGTGAACTTGGGTGTCAGAATGAGGCAACTCACCACAGCCAACTCACTGCAGCCAACTCACCATAGAACAATTTAACAATTCAGTTTAATTACTTAAAATAAATTTAAAAATATTTTAGTTTTTATCATTTATATTTCATTCTTTCCCTCCTTTTGTATCCTTTCTTTAATGATTCTGTTTCTTTAATGATTCACCATTTCTTTGATATTAGTGTAACTCTTGCCCCGCAGCGAGTTGGCCAAGGCAAGTCGGCTATGGCAAGTTGTCTGTGGTGAATTGTCTGTGGCAAATTGTCATAGACCCCTTGGGAATACTATTTGTGGGTGAGAAAAAAAAATCTTCCAATTGAATCTTGGAAAATTAAAAAAAAATCTGTGTCTAAGAGTTGTAATGGGTTTAGTTGGAATGTGAACCATAGGGAATTGGCTCAGTGGGAAATCATTTCAGAGACAATATTATAAGTTCTTGAGCTGACATATTGTGTCACTTCTTTGCATTACAATACCATGAAAATAATGTGCTTCTACACCACAGGTGTCAAACTTGCAGTGTCACATTGCTGTCACATGTCATATCACAATGTTTTTCGCAGCGCTGGGGTGGGCATCAGTGGTGGGATTCAAAAATTTTTTACTACCAGTTCTGTGAATATGGCTTGGTGGGCATGGCATGGTTTGATAGACGTGGCTTGGTGGGTGGGGCAGGAGAAGGATACTGTAAAATCTCCATTCCCACCCTACTCCTGGGGGAAGGTTACTGCAAAATCCCATTCCCTCCTCACCCCACTAACCTGATCTCCAGCTCTGTTCTCCTGTGCAGGGCAACAAAAGACCCAGCCAATCAGCTGGGTCTCAGGAGGCAGACAATAGATGGGGGCAGGGCCAGTCAGAGGTGATATTTGCCGGTTCTCCGAACTACTCAAATTTTCCACTACCAGTTCTCCAGAACTGGTCAGAACCTGCTGAACACTACCTTTGGTGGGCATGCCCTGAGCATCACACATCAGGCCCGTGAGCAACCAGTTTGACACCTCTGTTCTAGATTATAGAAGAACCTGGATAAGAGCTGCAGAGGTGTTACTCATTGTATAAAATGTTAAATATTAAAATAACTCAAAATGCAAATTCATGAGGACTAAGATGAATAGTTTATATACTCAGCAGAAAAAAAAAATCAGCCATGGCAGTGTTATGGACTTGGCCTATCTAATCAGCAAAGTGTTTCAGTTTAATCATAATTTAAATATAAATTACAGTCAATTATTGTGTACTTTATCAAACTTATTTTTGAAATACATTTCTACAATTTTTAGGAATTCCTAGAGGTGTTTGCTAATTCACTATCTCCAATTCATGTTGTAATATACTCAGAAACTTAGCTGAAACTATGCTAATAAATTTTGATAGCAGTTAAGACTGTTGTCCTCTAATAAGATTCATTTTTCTCAACCTAAATATGCATATCACTGCATTATTAGGCTTACTCTCAGGCTATAGGATTGCACCAGTATCACTAAGTGGCAGGATCTCTGATTTTCATCAGATGTGTTGCTCTGATGCTTAATCTGGCAAAGTGCTGGCAGAACAGCTTAGAGACTGAAAAATAATGATTCAGAAAGGAAGGGCATTGTACCAATGAAAGTGTAAACCACTGCTAGATAGCTCATCCTCCAAGAAGCCCTTTGTATACCCAGTATCATCTTGCTCCCAAACTTCAGGCCTATCCGTATTTCCTTGACCTTGTTTTAGAGGGGACTAAGTACGTTTTCATAGTCTGAAAGGATGAGCCATCCTCAGTAAGCAACTAGACACCCTAAGGAATAGATCCTGAAAGGGAAAAGATATACATTGTAATCAGAAAAGGGTTTTCAGAGCAGGAAAGAGAAACCACAAGAGAACCCCACTCAGTTGCAATTTAGGTAAGCAGCTCTAAAATTCACATATTCTGAAAAGGCTGTTGTACCCAGCGACTTGTAGTGTTTGTTTTTTTCAACAGAGCTGCGCAATCCTTCAGAATTGCCAGCAGATGCTTGGGAGCCCATGGGAGAAATACCCTGGCTTTTGTAGCGGGAACAGCATCCCCCCTGCCCCCCCATTTTTTTTGGAGGATTGCAGCTGCTTTAAAGAGTTGCAAAAAGAGGCAACCCATATGTCCCTCCCTGCCTGCCATGAAACCTCTTGTCAGAACTCAATCGGAAGCACTGCATTCAGACAGCTAAATCAGTTTTACAATTTCATGTCTGAGACAAGGGTCCTTCTAAAACATGCCTTTATGAGGGGACCGACAGTAATCTTTTTAATGTTTATTTTAATTGAATGTAATGATCAGGGGAAGGGTTTATTAACCAAGTGTGTCTCCAGTCTTGATGGCCGTGATTGACAAAACAAAGGCATTTTGAAAAGCCAGTGAAGGCCCAGTGCAAATTAGCTTGCCCTTTCCCCCATACAATAGTCAATAGTACCCAGAAGGAGCTGTGTGCTGTGGCACTGTGCTCCTTGTGCTGTGGCCAAAAGAGTATTTGGGGACATGCTGGAGGCTATAATAGGAATTCTACAAGGCTCTGCCAAGGGCAATTTTATCTCAGCCGGTTTTATTCCCTTTGACAGGCTCAAGTATTTATTCGGGCTTGAAATCATAAAAGAGACATTTACCATAACATGACTACAAATATGCAGTTGTAAATTATCTTTCCCACCCCTCTCTTTATTTAAGACAGATTTTTCTATATCCTTATCAACTGGCAACAATTTCCTCTGAACACTGGCTTCCTGAAATTGGCTTCCAAGGGAAGTTTGCCAATGTTTTTTTCCCTTTCATTTTAGATGATCAGAAATGCCAAACAAATTTCCTTGATGAGGCCATTTCTACATCATTAGCAATCTTCCCAAGCAATACATAGGCACATGCTGAGTAAACAGACTTGGCCATAGCCCCAAAGTGCCAAGCAGGTGGCTTGAGTTGTATCTGTATATGGTTTCTGTGATAGATATGCAGGGCATATCCAACAGCAAGCTACTTGTGGCATTTGACAATAGCAAAATATATTTCCCCCACCCCTCAGTGAAATTACAGGGTCATAAAAGGGAGTTTTGGATAGCATCTAAATATAATTTTTCTTTCTGTTGCTGTTCAGTTACCTCTTCTCCTTGTTTTTCTTCCATTCTGTTTTATCCCTTCTTATTCTCTTTCCAGTGCAAGTTTTTTTTCTCTCCTTAATCTTCCACTCATCCAATTTTTCTTCTTCTTCCTCCTCCTCCTCCTGGTTTCCTCTAAAATGTGAATGGGCAATGATTGTGTACAAAAGTTTAACATGATAGCAAAGGATTTTAATTTACATTTATTTGTAGTTTTCTTTTTACTCTTCTTTTCTCTCTATTATTCTAGACTGGAGAAGAGGTGCCATTTTAAATTCACTCTTATTTTCCTTTTTAATAAATACTGCCTTTGAATAAAAGGGTTGCTGAGAGTTGAATGATACAAAAACAACTGAAACAGAGCTCACTGACATTTTGTAAATGTTACTTCTAATTTTACTCTCTGTCTTTATAAAAATGAAAAAACCAAGCTCTTAAGATGACATAAGTATGTCCATTTTGAGTATTTGTTAAAGTAGAGAGGCCAAGTATAAACAAAATAAATAAACGAGTATATTTTGATAACTAGCTTTCAATCATTTTAAAGGTTTTGAAATACATTTCTTTTAGTAATTAAAAATAAAAATTTAAAGGGTAATGGGTCAAATGAAGGGGTAATAGAAAATCCAAATATCTGCATTTTAAAATGATAAATCTTCTGCATTGGTATTCACTATGCTGTGGTTGTTAAATACAATGACATCAAACTGCACTTTTAAATTATAACTATCCCACACTTGTGTAACCCTGTTGAGTGACAAGCCAGAAATGAAAAGTTGTGCAACTTTTCTAGAAGCTATTCAGGCTAAAGCATCAATAAACCTCTGGGGAGAGTAATTCTTCAGCTGTGTGCAATATGTGAAAAAAAAGACTTGGTGTTCCTTTTATGTAGCATTCCATAAATTATACATAAAAAGTCTGCGAAATTTCTAAGTATGTATTTGGGGGGAATAACAGAAGCCAAAGTGCTCCAAGTTTATTCATACTTCATGGTGCACTGAACTTATATTGCTTTTGATATGTCTCAGTAACCCTCTAAAACATTAAATTAAAATGTGACATTTTGTTATGTGCTGGGCTAGTTTTAAACCCTCATAGTTGTATTCCTTTTAAAACATCTTTTTTAGTTCCAGCTCGGTAAGGCAGATTTAGTGTGGAGTCTGCTACCCAATTTATTCCATTTGTTTATCTATGATTTTTTTCAGGGTATATATTTTTAAATCTCCCTTGTGGTTTTGCTTTAGTGTTGGCTTTATTTTTATTTACCAGTATTGTCTGTTCAGATCAACTTGTAATTTTCTCAGCCCTGGTGATTTTATTGACTATTTCCTTGCCTTTTATAATTCATCCCTGCTTATTTAACAAGGTCCTTCTTCTTGTGAGAACATCCATTTGCAGCAGCTATATAATATGATCTCAGAAGTCAAGCAAAAAATAAGTAAAGGAGAATTTTGGGAATTGTAGGCACAACAAAATGGCATGTCTGTATGTCCAGGTTCTTGGACAGCAAAGATGACTAACAAGCAAGTACTGGAGCACATAACACCAGGCATGCCACTGGAAGGCAAAATCACAAAACTACGTCTCACTTATTTTTGCTGTGTTATGTGGGCAAATTAACTGGAGAAAGAAATTATGTGTGGAAAAATTAACGATAAAAGGAAAAGAGGCTATCAAAGAACATGGTGACTGGACAACCTCAAAGCTGACACCAACCAAAGCATAGAGGAACTCGAAAAAGTAGTGCAAGATCAGAAGATATGGAGACCTGGCCCATAGAATCACCAAGAGTTGACACGACTGAATGAATAACATCATCATCATTGTGGGTCCCGGATTCATTCACAAAAATTGTCACATACTGAGAAGCAATTAGGAGACAAGGAAAAAGGTTCCAGCAGTTGAGGAAGCCCACTGTGCTGCCTACAAAGAGTTTCACTTAACTGGTTCACTACAGGTGACACTACAACTGTGACATCCAATAAACTGAATAGCATTAGCAGAAAGCTGGTTTGGGAAGACTTTGAAAATCATTCAGAAGCTTCAAAGGACTTGACAAGAAAGTTAATGAGGTGGATATCTTTTTTTCTTCAAATACCTGGCAGAGCAAGCTATTGGTTATTATGTGTGATGACCTGGTAGAAATAGCCTAACACAGGAGAGGACTCTTGAGAGTATCAACCAGTTTAGTACTTTATGTAAAGATTTCTTACTCCAAAATCAGAATAGTTGAAGAAAGAGCTCCAAATTTGAATGATTGCTAGATGGCTATTTTTCATTTTCATTGTACTTTTAAGTATCCAGAGTGAAATTTTGAAATAAACCTTAAAAGGAAATTTATCCTGTCACTTTGATTTTGTAAGCCTATTGTCAACATACATTTTTTCTTTATTTTTATCATAAAAGGTAGGAAGTTGTTTGTTTTGTTATTAAAGTTTATAAATTGGTCAGCATAAATTTTTGAGGAAGAGATTTTGAGTTCACCCTTCTACAGCTGCCATTCTTCACTGGCAGATGGTTCTCACCTTACCCCGAAGAATTGGATTGTGATGCAAGTAAAAGGGGTCTATAGTTTAGGGTTCTCGTTTATTTTATTTTTATCTTCCAGTAAAGATGGAGCATTATGAAGCCATCTATTTCCAGGTTCAGATTTCAATCTATGCCTTTCTTTCTTTTAACAAGGCAGTATTCTAACATTCCTTTGGAAGAACTCCTTTGTGCATATGTTTGCATTGTGTACAAGACATTGTTCATTATTTCTTGCATTGTCCATTGTATAAGAATTTAAGTGAGGTGTTTTTCATTTGTTATTTTAAAGCATCATTACAGTAAATCTACTTATCATAGACACAATTCCCCTCATACTGAAATATTTGGTCAATTTACAAGAAAACCTGGAAGGTGATTGTTAACAAATGTAAACATTTTAGATGTTAAATTTCTAACATTGCACATTGTTACCGCCTTTAACTAAATGGAACAAATAATATAATTCACTAAGTTTATTCTGGTATTAATTTTGAATGGCGTAACTTAACCCAGAAATGAGCTTTGTATTTTCATTTTCCCTCCTTATTCTTCTATATTTCTTTTGTGTTCCTGGATTCAATGCTTCTGTCCAAAATCAGATTCTAAACTATAGCTTCTGTTTCAAAGCCAAATTTGGGGTGTAGTATCTCAATATAAAAAAGCCACTCATGCTTCCAAATTCACCCCCATGCTGTAACATGAAATATCGTTCTATTTTCACCAGTAGCGGGATTCTGCCAGTTTCCTTACTGGTTCGGTAATTGCTCACTTCATGCCCTGCGCACAAAGGCTTTCCAAACACAAGCTGTGGCTCTGCTGCACCAATCAGCTGAGACGATAAGAGAAAAGTGCAGGGGCAGGTGGGAGGGCCAACCCTGTGCTTTTCTCTTCTTTCTCTTCTCAGCTGATCGTTGGAGCTATATTTTACTACCTATTTGGCTGATCCAGTAGCAATTTTTGCTGCTTCAGCTGAATTGGGCCAAACCGGTAGCACTTCACCACTGATTTTCACCGACATTATACAAGTAATTCTCAACTTACCAGCAATCACTCAGTGACCGCTCAAAGTTACAATGGCATTGAAAAAAGTGACTTATGATCATTTTCACATTTAATGACCATTGCAGCACCCCTGTGGTCATATGATCAAAATGCTTGGCAACTGGCATGTATTTATGACAGTTGCAGTGTCCTGTGGTCCTGTGATCATTTTTTGCAATTTAATGAAAAAAAATTAATATTAGCTTTTATTTCATTTGTGATTAACTTCCAAACAGAGCTGACAAATACACTCCTAATGTTATCTATATGTCTGTTTATATGGTGCATGTGTGTGTGTGTGTGTGTATGTGAGAGAGAGAGAGAGAGAGAGAGAGAGAGAGAGAGAGAGAGAGAGACTACAGATAGTTTTTGACTTATGACCATTTGTTCAGCAACTGTTTAAAATTAGAACGGTGCTTAAAAACTATATTTACAACCCAGACATGAAATTATGGCTGTTGCAGTGCCACTTGAAGTCACATGATCAAAATTTGGTCACATGGCAACCTACCTGCTAAAAAGGCCCAGGGCGTTCAGTAGCTTCAACCCCACCCTGAGGCCCTGACTTCAGTCCCAGCACCACCTCTGCCCCTGAGAAATGCTACCTCAAATCCCACACCTACAAGAAGCGGCTTGTTATTTGGAGAATGACAAGAGCTCTGTTCTCAGTGTTTTGGAAGACCTCCTTCTCCAAATCACAGTCTTTGTTTCTTCTCCAAATCATGCACCCCTTTCTCACAAGTCTTGGAGAGAACCAGAAGGTTTCCAAAGGATTCATGAGAATGGGATATGCAGTTTGGAAAAGAAATAGCGTAAGAGGCTTGGAGAATGGCCTGAGATGACTTCAGAAAGACGGTCTGATACAGTCAGACATTGCTTCACAGAGGCCAGGCACACCTGTCAGCAGCAGGAGAAAAACAATGAAGGTCAGTGGGGCATGGCACATCTTCTGGAGAGCATAGTGGCAGCGGGGCAATGGGGTTCTTTCACAATACTGCAGTGGCTGGTCACAATGGTGGGGGGGGGGGCTTGAGGTGGCATTTATGAGTGTCAACAGTGGCCCTAAGTCTGAAGTAAATGCCTGGGAGCAGTGGCAGCTGGCTGAGACTGCTGAAGGCACCAGGCCTCTACTTTAGCTCCAGCCCTGGCACTTCTGCTGATGACTGCCACTGTACAGGGTGCCCAAAAAAAGAATAGATCGGTGATGGGGAGACTTAGGGAGACACCGCTGGACCAGGTAAGGCAACTGAGGCTTCCCAGGATGAGGCAGCTTTATGCCACACTGCTGGACTGGGACAGCTGAGTCTTCCATAGGCAGCTACAGCTTTGAGTTGCATTACAACATATACCACCACCTCCCCAACTCTTGTGTGTTGGGGTCTCCCTGGGCCTCCCTCAGCCATTGCACTTCTTACCTGGGACCCCCCTGCTTTGCTTTGCTTTGCTTTGCTTTGCTTTGCTTTGCTTTGCTTTGCTTTGCTTTGCTTTGCTTTGCTTTGCTTTGCTTTACTTTACTTTACTTTACTTTACTGTACTTTATTGTCATTGCACCTTGTACAATGAAATCAAACACCATCTTCAGTGCACATCATGACCATGACCATGAAAATAAACACAAACATACATCCTTCACCCTTCACACATTGAAACGGAAACCCCTGACACCACACCAACACTGCACAATACAGCAGAATTCAAAAGAGCTACAGCCCTGGGATAGAAGCTGTTTTTCAGCCTATTTGTCCTTGTTTTTATTATTCTGTACCATCTGCCAGATGGTAATAGTTCAAAAAAAGGGTGCCTAGGATGAGATGGATCTTTGAGGATGTTTTTTGAACTTTCTTAAGGCAGCGGGAGCTATAAAGCTCTTCCAAAGAGGGGAGAGGGCAACCAATGATCCTCTGGGCAATGACATTAACCCTCTGGAGCACTTTCCTATCTGCCACTGTGCAATTGGCAAACCATACAGAGGTGCAGTCAGTTAAGATACTCTCTGTGGGTGCAGCGGTAGAAGGTCATTGGCAGTTTCTCATTCAGTTGTTGTTTTCTGAGAAGCCTCAGGTAGTATAATCTCTGATGGGCCCTTTTGACCAGGGCTGCAATGTGGGCACCCCAGGTCAGGTCCTCTTTTAGGGTAACACC